CGATAACAACCCCTCCTCTTTCGTGCCAATTAACAGAAATTAAATGTTCCTGGCATACTGTAATTCAGGAAATGCCTGTGCTGATTAGTTAAACCCCTGCTGGACAGGCCATTATGACCAAGGGGCCTCAGGCCAACATCCCAGCTCTCACTCCATCTCCATTTAAAGTCACAGAATGTTTTCTTCATGGGTAAAAATCATGTCATCTCATTCATTTATTCATACATTTTCATTCAACAAATATTGACTGAGCATCTACTGCGTGCGAGGTTTTGTTCCATACAGTTGGGATACAGCAGTGAATAATGCAAGTAAGGTCCCTGCCTTCGTGAAGGGGAGTAAATGGTAAACAATTAAACATGCAGGATCTTTCTATATGACAGATGTTATAAAGGAAACAAAGTGATGGGACAGAGAATGGCTGAGGGGTAGGAGCTACATTAGGTAGGGCAGCCAGGAAAGGTTTCTCCAAGGAGGTGACACTTGAACTTATATTTGAAGATTGAGAAGGAACCAGATACGCTGCGTGGCAAGGTGAACAGAAACAAGCTCAAAATGTCTAGGAAATTCATTCATCAAACGTTTTTGATCATACAATAAATACATGTTGAATGAACAATCGGAAAATAGATGAATCCTCTTTTTTCCTGCCAAGAAGGACCTTCGGAGGAAGGATGAACTTATGGGAGATGCCACAAGCATAGAGACAAGTTACTTCCCTTTTCTCCAGCCCCATTCTCCATCTCTAAAACAAGGTGCTTAGCTTAACCACTAGCATTCCAGGGCTGTGGGGTCTGAAGAACTCACCTTCCAAGGGGACTGGCCCTCACAGCTCTTTAAAGTAATGACTATGCAGCAAGCTAAAAACAATCTGGCATATTTTTTAAGCAGTCGAAATGGTTGTTTGGAATTGTGTAGACAAGGCATGAAATGTCATCTGCTTTGTTATCCTTAGGACATATTTATTGAATTTCCATGCTCATTCCAAAAATACTTATTATTAACTACAAGTCTCTCTGCCCCCACCCTCATCCTTCTTCTCCTGCTTTTCCTCCTCCTCCTCCTTCTCCTCCCCTACTCTCTCTTCCCCCCACCTTTCTCTGGCACACTAGTTAAGATCCCAGGCTAGGGCCAGCCCTGGTGGCCTAGTAGTTAAGTTCAACATGCTCCACTTCGGTGGCCTGGGTTCAGTTCCCGGGCATGGACCTACACCACTCATCATCTGTCAGTAGCCATGCTGTGGCAGTGGCTCACATACAAAAAGAGGAAGATTGGCACAGATGTTAGCCCAGGACAAATCTTCCTCGGCAAAAAAAAAAAAAAAAAGAACCCAGGCTAGAGCATTGGAACACCTGAGCTGTATGTCAAGTGTGACTCACTGTGTGACTTTGGGCAAGTCATTCACCTCTCTGAGTCTTAATTTTCTCATCCATACAATAGGAATAATAATAGAGGCCATCTCACAACAACCATCTAAAGTAAATATTGAGCTATTATTATCCCATATTGTAGATTAGGATGTAAAATTTTAAGAACTCAGCTTAGGACACTGAGACTTAGGTTTTTAAGGCAAAAGAAACTCTAGTAACGAGTGTGACAATGAGGCAGTTTAATGATCTGCATCCACCTTTCCATTCTTTGAAGTAATCAAGAAGCAGGATCACAATAAATAGCCTTCAAGAGGTCTCTTAATTTATAATAATACTTTTGAGCCAACAGTTATAGAACCCCTGCTGTGTGCAGACTCTATTCTATGTGCTTTACTTACACTGACTGATTTAAAAATCTCCCCACAACCACACAAAGTAAACACTATCACTAGCCCCATTTTACAGATAAAAAAACAAAGACCTAGGGCCGGCCCCGTGGCTTAGCGGTTAAGTGCGCGCGCTCCGCTGCTGGCGGCCCGGGTTCGGATCCCAGGTGCGCACCGATGCACCGCTTCTCTGGCCATGCTGAGGCTGCGTCCCACATGCAGCAACTAGAAGGATGTGCAGCTATGACATACAACTATCTACTGGGGCTTTGGGGGAAAAAAATAAATAAAATTAAAAACAAAGACCTAGACAGATTAAATAATTTCCGCAGGGTCACACAGCTAGGAATTGGTGGAGCTTGGGAAGAAACCCAGGCAATCTGACTCCAGTCTATGCTGCTAACTGCTTGCCACCTCATTTAAGATGAGACACAAAAGCTTTCCGCAGACATCAGGGTTTTCTATTTCGAATAGATTTGTCTTCTGAGCAGTCAATAAACAAAGAGTTATTACATGCCTCATCCTGAAACCCCTGGCCTGTAGACACAGCGCTAATAAGGGCTGCTACCCAGTCCTGCACGGCGTCAGCCATAGGTAAAGTCACACCTCCTACTGTTGATGGGATTTTCAGGCGCCTATTAAAATGTCAGTCGATCTTGGAGTTGAAGTTCTTTCTACATCATTTAGCACAACCTGGAAGGTCAGTTCAATGCAGAGCCAGCCTTCCCTTGGCAGTTACTTCCTTATTACTTCCCTGTCCTTGCACTCGCTCTCAGAAATGCTACATCACAATAAATGTAGTTAAAGAGCAAACAAACCTCCACTCCTCCCTTGGGATCCAGATGCAGTAATCTCAAATAACCTTGCCTTCAGTCTCCCAGCTGCTGACACCAGGCCTGACCTACAGATCAAAGCGGCCATTTTTGGGTCCAGCGTGATATTAACAGGTTGACCCATCTCCAAAGACACGTGCCCAGCATTAGCACTGGCACCAACTTAGGCACAGGGAAGAGAAGCAGGATATGTCTAACACAGGTACCTTCCCTTCTAAGGGCTCAAAGTCATGACTAGCAGGATGAAACTCCTGCCCACATTTGGTGGCGTATAGTGAAGACAGCATAACTCCAAACTCTGTTTAACTTATTGACGTGGGGGGACGCGGAATGCATCGTAGTGATCACAGACTTTGTATTCATGCCTGCTTCTCCCGCTGAATGTAAAGCAGCCACCTGGACCTCTGACCGCCCTTCCTTGCTGTTGTGCCGAGTGGAGCACGTCAGCAAATGCGTAAGAGCCACATTGCATTTGCAAGCCCTGAGAGCTCAGAGAAGCTCAGTGTTGAGCCCAAATGTAGCTGCCTCCTTGAAAGCTCAGGCTCCTTCAGTACACTCGGTCTCTGCAGCCATGGATCGTAGTTCTGCTTTTGGAAAGTGGGGGTTTGGGTAAGACTCCCCAAATCGGTGTTTCCCATACACTTTGCTCGGAAGATCTGTCCCATGCCGTGTCATGAAGAATGAGGCTGTGAACCTTAAAGTTTCCCCAAAGAGAAAACTGGTCTGTTAAATCAGCATGAGTCCTCGAATAGAAAAGAAATCAGGCTCCAGATGAAAGAAATTGGACAGGAGATGGAAAACTCCCTCTCCTACTCGTTTCCTGTTTTATTGGATTTTCATGGGCATTCACTTGTGGACAAACTCTGAGGCTGGGTCTTTTAGAAGGCAAGTCTTTCTAAATGTTATTGCACCAATTTTCCATAGCTTTTCCTGTCCCCCTGCAGCATGGTCAGTTGGGACTTTATTTGCACTCAGAAGGGCCAAGAGCCAAGCATTGGCAGCAAAGTCATAGAGAGCAGCCAACTCCTGTGATGCCCATTCAAACTGCCTGCCCTCACCTGGACAAGGAGCAGCCTGAGGTGTTGGCTGCGCGTCCTTCTGAGTGCTCTCAGCCTCAGGAGGACACAAGGGGCCAAGGGTTGGACAGGGAGAGGAGGACATTGGTTACATATGTGGGGGTGATAGGGGTGCAGGTTGGGTTTGTAATCAAAATAAAATATTTGAGGCTTTGGAGAAATTCTGGGGGCTCATGGATTTTAACTTTTTATTTTTGAAATAATTTCAGACTTACAAGAATGTAGCTAAAACTGTACCAAAAAATTCCTGTATACCTTGCAGAGCTAGGTTCCCTAGATAGTAACGTTTTACTATGTTTGTTTTGATTCTCTCTCTTTTATATATATATAAATATATACAATATTAATTAAATATTAAATAAAATGTTAATATAAATTATGTATATAATTTTTCTGAACCAATTGAAAGTAAGTTGAAGAACAAATGCCCATTTACCCCTAAACAATTCAATGTGTATTTCCTAAAAACAAGGATATGCTCTTACATAAGCACAATACAGTTACCCAAATCAGGAAATTAACACTGATTTAGTACTATTAACTAGTCTACAGATCTTATTCAGTTGCCCTACTATTTTTTAAATTGTCTGACTCTTTTGCTTTACAGAAAAAAAATTTTAATGTCTTATCTAGGATTCCATCCAGGACCACATATTGCATTTAATTGTCATATCTCTCTAGTTTCTTTTAATCTGGAACAGTTCCTCAAGATTCATTGTCTTCCATGACCTTGGCATTTTGAAGGATGTAGGCCATTTATTTTATAGAATGTCTCTCAGTTGGGGTTTGTCTGATATTTATTCATCATTAGATTCAGATTATTCATTTTTGACAGTAAAGGATAATAACCCTTAGCATCAAATAGGAATCCCTGAGTCCATACTACACAAATAAATAAATGGGGGAGAAGAAAAAGCTCTTCCTTACAGTAGAGTGCCAACTACTAAATGTAGAAGGAATGATGGAATTTTTAAAAATCACCATTTGGCAATCACTACAGTAATAATAGGTTCAGGCAAGAATCATCAATGGATATTAAAACTAGTGGGTGAAAGCTTGAAGAACTCAGAGTTAACACAAGGGGAAAACAGCAGCTTGATAGTGGAGAAACCTGGTAGACAACCACCGTAACTGAAAGACGAAAGTTAGCATCAGCAGAAATAGGGAAATAGATTCTATGTGCCTCCTGATATGATGAACTGAGGACACAACCTCTCTTCTGTGAAATGAAAAGACAAATTCCTGCCCAAAGGGCTTAAGAATTTTAAAGAACTATAGTCCTTCCCAGGCTGCATTCACACACAATAGATTCTGAAATCTTTTTCACCTTCACAGACCCTGCCTTGGTAATCTTCCCAGGAGGAGCCAGCAACAACTGGGACACTGATGACAACAAATGATCTTCTTGGATGGAAACTGCTCAATGGAGAGTTGTGGACCATGGGATATTCCTTGGACATAAGGGATGATACAGGAATACGAATAGGCTGGCCTCCAAGACAGAGGGTAACAGGAGAAACAGCAAGTCTGTCTTTACCCATAGTGTCAATGGGGGGTGGGCCAGGATGGAGAAAAGCAAAGAATCATGTGCTGTTACAGGTGACACCAGACTCCCTCCCATCCCTCCTGTTATTCCATTCTATTGTCAAAGCCAAACTTTATCTTGCCAATTTCTCATATTTTGGCACCTAATTGACAAATGAAAAAACTGGACATCAAATGCCTTCCAGATCTGTGACTGGCCTGTCTCTCCAGCTCAGATTTAGAGCCGTGCAGGGGATGGCATAATATTCTTCTCTTGGGTGTTCAAGCCAGAGAGGCCAATGCTTCTTCACAATGTCCCTAGCCTTCACCCCTTCCCCTGACTCCCACCTGAGCATCTTGCATCCCTCTGCCGCAACCTCCATCTGTTCCACTCCAATTCCATCCTGTTTCCCCCACCGCCTTCCCTGACACCTGCTGATCCAGAGGGCTTCTCTTAGAACACACTGATCTGGGAAATAAGGACTTGGTACATAAAGAATCTCAGATAAGAAAAATCCATGATGTTATGAGAGAGATGCCACAGACTGCAACGCTAACAGAGAGGCTATTTCAAGTCTAAAGATATAAAAATTAGTTAGAACCATGCATTCCTTTTTGCTCAGAAATAAGTCATCTTAAAAGACAAGTCATTAGAAGATATTCTACCCCTGGTTTAAAAAACTGTAATTTAAAATGCAAATTTTACATTATCTGTGCTAAACAGAGAGAGACATTGCACAGATAAATGAAATTCACAAATACCGAGACTTCTTTGAGCCATACATTTTCATCTTCTATCCTAAGACATCAATAAGAGTTTCATTTTTAAAAGCACATGCTGCACTGATTATCAAAGACAATGACAAGAATGCAGCATTATTTGGATATGTTGGTTGTTTTAAAGTTCAGGATTATAATTTTGCACTGAAGCATCCTCAGTCTTTCATCCAGCCCTGCTTATAAGCAGGAGCAAGCATCAGCCAAACCATGAGCAGAGTTAAGGGTTGTATTTTGTGGTTACAGAAATGTTTTCTCCTATGTGAAGCTGTCACATGAGGTCTCAAACTAGCACCCATCTCTTAATGGGATGAATAACTTGGAATTCTTAATCACACCCTTCTCTTAGCTAACCCCAGAGGAAGGTGATAACAAGCAACAAGAAGCCCCAAAGTATTGGCTTTATCTACCCAGTAATTCAGTGATGACATCTCCTCACACATGGTCAATGATGGTGCTGCCAATTGTCAGTCATCCCTTTTCTCCGAACTACTGTGACTGAATGTTGGTTCCATTTCCTCTGGGACGAACTCAAGTTTGGTCAGCTCCTCTTTAGCCTCAGCAGCAATGAATATAGAGATGCTGCCTTCAGGTTCTGGAATCTATTTGTTGCTACCATGAGGCCTTATAGCCTACCTATAAATAGGTTTCCATGACTTTATTTTCCAGGGTAAAGTTATAGAATGTCAGAGTTAGAAAGAATTTTATTTTTATTGATGATGTATGGAAAGGTTAAGTATAGGCAAGCTGCCCACACAAAAGCAAGTTGTATAAACTTGGGGGGGGGCGGGGGGCAATGTAACTTTTAATCCCCAGAAACCATTAGACCACGTTGGCTAATTACAGCCTTGCCTTCAAGGCCTTCTCGCTCGATTTTCTTCTTATGTTGGCTTCCCCCTCTCACATTTAGAGCAACAGGAAACTACCACTCCTAATTTTTACACTTGCTGTTTTTTAAGTCTCTGGGAACTTTCCATGGCTTATAATGGAGGGTTTCGTGAAGATTTAGCTTTTCCTTTGAACCTGCCACGCCAATCAACCAAATATTTTCTTAAAACACGAAATGAAGAACCTGATTTGTTCCCAGCCAAACCAAGAAGCTTAGAAAAAGCTTTCCATTTCCTAAAGTTTTCATTTCTGGACTGTCAGTTCCAGCATATAGATTCCAAATAGTCATGGGTCCAAAGTGGCGGTGGTGGGGAGGCAGGTAATGATGAATTAGGATGGTTAGAATGATGCCAGCCCAGAAACTTACCCTAGAATAGTTTGCTAACCATGAAGTCTGAGTATCAACTCTTGGAATTGTTGCTTCTTATTACTATATGTTGGGTCAGGGGAGGGGGTGTTGTTTAGGGGAAAAAAGATGAAAAAGAAAATGGAAGGGGAGAAAAATTCACTCCTCCATGGAAATATAAGCAGAAAACCTATAGACTCATGTGTCTCTGCTTGCTTTTTAAATACAGTGTTTTTAATAGACAAAAAGAGAATCTTTATGAGGTAACATGTATGTGAATAATGTTTATAAAAAGGGTATAACATGTTAGTCATTATGGACTATTGTATAAATAAACCTTAGATATATAAAATATATAAATGTATAAAAAATTATTTTATAGGGCAATTGACACTTAAGGACTTTCAAACGTTTCACTTCTTTGTTCCAAAAACTAGCGACTTCCCAGGGCTGGCAGCTTATTTCCATAGTCTATTCCACTGTAAAGCTAGGGGATTGGGGGAAGGTTTGTTTGTTTGTTTTCCAGTTTTATAATTTCTAATCTGTGTGGTTACTTTGAAATGTCTGTTACATGTGTGTTGGTGTTGGTGTTGTTTACCCACATGGAGTCATCAGAAATCCGTCCCACACTTTGCATCTTGAAAAACCAAAAGGAATTTTCTAGTGAGAAGAAAAATACACAGAATATGCCTTCACTGTTGGGTAACTCTCAGATTTGTACCACTGACAGCTTTTTGTAAGTCTGAGGAAATGGAAAGTTTAATATCAGAGTTGTCGTGTCTCATGTAAATATTTAATGTCGGATAACTTTTCCTCTGGGAAGAAACCACATATTTTTGTTAACTCCTTTTTTCTTGGACTTGACATAGTCTACAGGAAACCAGAAGTCCTGACCCTGAGCTACCTTGCTTCAGGACCACTCTCCACCATCAGTTTTCAAAGAACTATCCACATATTATTTCTCCATTTCATGTTCTGTGATTCAATGGTAGAATCAATGTTTTTAGAGCCCAGAGTTTTACTTTTTTGGGGTTTGTGGCTCTAAGGAAGCATTAAGTTTTCTCTTTTCCACCCAGGCTGATGAAAAGAAGCAAAGGGAAAAACTGAGGCTTCCTTGCTGGAGAGGTCCCCTCGCACCTCTTTCGTCAGCAGAGAGAACTGTGACAGTGACTGGGGAATGAAATACTGTCTGCTCCCCAAGGAGGGATAGCTCAATCATGTGAAAGTGGAGAGATTACCCAAGTCTCCTTTGCCAAAAAAGCATATTGTTCCCAGCTATAAGTTTGTGAAGCCCAATATGTGTTTTGGCCTGAAACAATAAAACAGGTTTATTTTCACTTAATAGAGTTGTCCCTCAGGCCTGGTTTTTTCAGTAGCTGGCTTGAAGAGGGAGTACATTATCATAGATTAAATGTCAACATTGGGCATTTAATTTTTCCCAAAGGGCTTTGGCTCCTGGCAGCTGCTCTGAACATCCAAAAGGGAGAGCTGGGAGAAGAGGAATCACTTTGTCAGACGGGAATTGCTTAGTTGCTTAGTTTCGGTGGGGATGCCTGGGGGCAGGAGTGAGTGACACTTCATCTCCATGCTCACCAGGATAAGTTCACCTCCTAGAGCAAACTTTGGCTTGTACAACCATGAGGGTCCAAGAAGGCCTCTTGGCCAGTAGCCTTCTCTGCTTGCTTAGTGCAGAGGTTAGAAGTACAGCCTCAAGAGCCCCACTGCCTGTTACTTAGCAGCTGCGTGGCCTTGGGCAAGTTACTTAACCTCTCTGTGGCTCAGTTTCCCTTTCTGGAAAATGGAGATATAATAGTACCTTCCTGAGGGATGTGAAAGATTAAGTGTCTTAAAACATATAGAATGCTTTGAACAGTGCTGGCACATACAAGTACTCAATAAAATTAGTGTTTTACCACCTTCACAATGTTCACCATATCCGTCAACCATCTATATTATTATTTATTTAATATTCTTATTTTAATTAACTCAACTTTAATCTAAAATTTAATTGAAGAGAAAACTTTATATCTCAACTGTAAATGGAAAATTATATAATTTGCTATGAACATAAGGTAACAGTAACATAGTAATAATAGCTCACATATACTGAGTCCTTGCTACTTGCCAGCCACTGTGCTAAGTGTCTTGACTGGTTAGAATCTTCACAGCCCTATGAGGTTAGTACTATCATTTTACAGATGAGGAAACTGAGGCACAGAGAGATTAGCAAATTTGCCTGTAGTTATACAATTAATATGAAGAAGGCAGTTCAGGCTTCAGAACCCAGGCTCCTCAGCACTGCTCTGTGCTGCCACCCTAACAAAAACAAGAGTACTCGAGTCACATGGTAGGTGGTTGGTGTATTAGCTTCCTAGGGCAGCTGTAACAAAGTACCACAAATTAGGTGGCTTAAACAGCAGAAACTTATTCCCCCATAGTTCTAGAGGCTAGAAGTCCAAAATCAAGATGTTGGCAGGGCGATGCTCCCTCCAGAACCTCCAGGGGAGGATCCTCCCCTGCCTCTTCCAGCTTCCGGCAGCCCCAGGCATTCCTTAACTTGTGGCAGCACCACTCCAATCTCTGCCTCCATCTACATGTGGCCATCTTCCCTGTGTGTGTCTCTGTCTCCGTGTCTCTTTTCCTCTTCTTATAAGGGCAACAGTCATATTGGATTAGGTCCCACTTTAATGACCTCATCTTAACTTAATTACATCTCCAAGACCCTGTTTCCAAATAAGGTCACATTCACAGATACCAGAAGTTAGGACTTTAACATATCTTTTGAGGGGAAAGAGGGGACATAATTCAACCCATAACAGTTGCCTACCTAAGGCTCTGAGGCTGGGGCTGAAGATGTGCAAGTGCAAGATTAGCAGCAACCCGAGACTTTCTTTTTTATGCATCCAGGACTGCAGGAGTCAGGACAAGGGAAGGACAATGCTTCTGTGTTTCAGTGACATTAGTGCCCAGTCAGGGTTCTAACTAAAATTAACCATCTCCTGCACCATCACTGGTACTTTTGGAAATGGGGCTTAGCATAAGAAAGCCATATAACAATGCTTCCAGCTTTCCAGACACCCTCATGAAAGGATGGCAGTAGGAAGATGCAAAAAGATGCAACCTTCCAAAACTCCAGGCAGGAGGTTTTGGAAGTTTTGGGAATGCAACCTTCCAAAACTCACCTCTAGAACCTGCCTTACGTGGCTGAACTGGAATAGCAAATCCAGACGAATGACAGAGTCTTTCTTCATTGGGGGCATATGTAAAGAAAGAACACTGGTAAAGACAGCGGGGGGACAAGCATTTATTTTCATACTATTTCAGTAAAAATGTAAGAAGAAGAACAATCTCTCTACTAAGAGGAATTTGAGAGAAGGGCTTGGGAGATGAGAAGTTTTCTGGCTCTGTCAAGTAAAGGTGTCCTTAGTTGAAGGGGCTGCATAGATTTCGTAGAGTTGGGAGGTCCTCATTTTGAGTTCCCGGGCCACCTGACAGATGGAAAAAGGCCAACAGCAGTGCACCGCCAGCCAGTCCTCGCACAGTGTGCCCTAGGGTGAGACCCAGGTCTCTGTTTTGTAGCAATCACACAGGCTCGTTTCCATTAACCAGGGACCTCTACAATATTACCTGATGGCCCATCCCATCCACTGCTTCCAAGATCCACCAGCACCCTTCAGTCAATACCCAGGGACACAGCTCCACTGAGTTACCCAAGTGCCAAGCGGCTCAATTGCTAACCAATCCTTGCAATTCAGAGACCTGCTCTTAGGGCTTTTGATATGGGCTTCATACTTGAAACCACATATTTTTTCTTCTCTTAGGACTTAATATTTATAATTATTTTATTTCTTTGGAGTAATAAATACACATGGTCCAAAATTCCCACAGTAAGAAGGGAGAGGAAGCAAAAAATAAATCCCCCTTCTATAGCTGTCCCCAGCCACCCAGTTACCTACCTGGGGGCAACCATTATCGGCAGTTTCTTATATATACTTCCAGATAAACTGCATGTCTATGCAAGTATATACATATATAGTCTTTTTATGAAAATAGTTGCATACTTCTATGCCTTGTTTTTTGTTTGTTTTTTACTTAAAAATATCTCTTAGGGATCATTCCATGTGAATATACAAAGAGATGCCTTTTTTTAAACTGTCCACATCTTAATAGGTCTGATCTGTCTGTCCTCAATTTGTCATTGTACCTCAGTCTCAGCTGCACTGGAAATTGACTGTCTGTTTCTTTGAATGGTCCCCAGGGAACCTCCAAAGTGAATTCTGCATATGCCACATAGGCTACATTTTAAGTCAGACCATCCCAAGTATGTCCTCCAAATTTGGTGCAATTCTACCTGTCAACTTCTCTTGACGCAATAAGAGACAGAGAAACAGAAGTGGCCCATTGACCAATAATCTGCATTCTAATAGGTCCCCCTAGGAAATACCCTTCACAATGTGTCATTTTGGTTAACATACATCCTAGTAACGAATGAAATCAGAAATTTCTTCCCTTTCCTTTCCCAAAGTCTCCCATTAAGCGTGATGTTTTTAAGCATCCTTGGCCACACCTTTTTTTTTTTTTTTGGAAAATCACAGGTTTGAAAGGCATCCAGGGTCTCATATAGATCCAGGTTCATGGTTCACATATACGTTCAAACCCACTTACCCGTATTTTATGTCTCTCTCTGGTGCCAATTCTCAGTGCAAAGGTGGACCCAGGTAACAATGGCCAACAAAGACATTCTCCATAATGCCTGGCGATGTCACACTCAAGACACAGTGGACAAAACAGACCACAGAAACCTGTCAATAACCAGATTAAAGAAAGCCAGCATTCTCCAATGTTCTCAGAACAACTTTATGTCTTGAGGAGCAGGTACAACCCTATGCTGTCAATTTAATGCTGCATTGTCTCCCTGAAATTGGGGACTGGGAATGAATAACCAATTCTCAAAACTCAGTGTACGAAAATCGCCATAACTGAGCTACATCGAAATTGCCTTCTTTTGTTAAACACTGGCAAAGCTGAACCTGATACAATTCTGTTAGCATTCACAATGGTAATTGTTTTTCCTGTCAAGAGAAAAGCATTAAATCATTTTTTTACAGTTGAATCATAACTCTTGCTTATACGATGTTCATCTACCTAATTTCAATATTTAAAATAGACACAGTATATGATACTTTTGAATAACAGGCATCTTTTTCTATAAATGTGATGGAAAGCTCTTTTATGGTACACTGATTCTGCCTGCTATTCTTATCAGAGCTTTATTCTATTTCTCAGGCCAGAGGTTATTCTAATTTTTGCTAGTTTCTTGGAGCCACTGACATCTGCCAGTTTTAATCCGTAAACTATTAGAGGCTTGCTTCCTTGAACATCGACTGGAAACAGTTTGTCATTTATTCATTCATTCATCTTTAACTACTGATATTTCCTACACATTCCGCATGAACCATCTAACACGGAAGTTCTGTTTTAAACGTTTTGGGTCACAGACCCTTTTGAGAATATGGTAATAGCTACGAACTCGCTCCTCAAGGGAAAAGAAAAGTACATGCACATAGACATGCAAAATTGTGCATCCAATTTCACGGGGTTCAAGGATCCATTGAAAACTGTCAACTGACTGCAGGTTAAGAACCCCTGATGTACAGTTAAGATGTTCGGTCATGTAGCACTGCAAAAGATGACAACCTTGATGAATACCAATAATTAGTACTATAAAACAGCAAAAAAAAAAAGCTAACAATAACCTTTAAAAAATATATTCAATAAATATGTTATTCAGGCACAATTTATATACAAGAAAATGTACAGATCGTGAATGTTCAGTTGGATGAGTTTTGACAATCATATTCACCCAAGTAACCAAACATGTAGAACACTGCTCCCACCCACAAAGTTCCCTGTGCCCCTTCCCAGACTACCCCAATCCTCCCACCCCCACTCCAGAGGCAACCACTACTCTGCCTTCTATTTCCATAGATGAGTTTTACCTCTTCTCGAACTTCATATAAACGGAACCACCTTTACCTTTATATCTTTCTTCTTTTGTTCAACATCCTGTTTCTTAAGGTTTATCTGTTGTTATGTGAATTTGGAGTCTGTTCTTGAGTAGAGTTCCAATGTGTGAATATCCCACAAATTGCTTATCCATTCTCCCATTGATTATTCCATTTTTTGCTATTATGAATAAGTACTAGGAACATTCATATGCAAGTCTTCATGTGGACATATTTTCACTTCAGTTGGGTGGATTCCTGAAAGTGGAATTGCTAGGTCGTGGGGTAGATTTATGTTTAACTTTACGAGAAGAAAACAGTTCTCCAAAGTATTTGTACCATTTTACACTCCCACCAGCCATGTATGAGAGTTCTAGTTGTTCCACATCCTAACCAACATTTGCTATTGCCGGTCTTTTTTATTTTAGCCATTCTAATGAGTGTGAAATGGTAGTGACCATAGTCTTTTAGTGCACCAGACACAAAGGCTCACACACCCTGCCACTAGCACCCTAGAAGAACCTCCTGTCAAAGGCCTGTCTCTGCTTACCCATCCCTCCCTCTCCCCCCAACAGTTAGGAGTGCAAAGTCCCACTCCCCAATTCAGTGACAAAGAAGCAAAAAACTAGGAATGCTGTTTTATCTTAGAACCTCCAAGGACGTTCCAGGACTCGGGACTTCTTCCACTTCGCATAGGGGTTGAGGTAACACACGTGCACAAAGGGCGTGACACGGACTGGGAGTGGGGGCAAGGAGCAGCCTGCCATCGAGGAACAGAATATCTATTTCCTCCTTCAGGAGTCTTAAGATAATTGCTATATCAGGTATGGCAGGCATCACTTGCCCCAAAGCAAACTCTGAATTCAGCCTTGAGTAAGTCTTGGATGTTTCACCCCACATTTAAAAAAAAAAATCATTTCTCCCAGTGAAATCAGCAGGGCCCACCAGCACTGACAACTGGTATGAACAGCTCAGAGGACAGCAAATGGCCAGTAAACTTACAGCGAGTTCAGAGTGGCCATGCTGTATGCAACCTTGAATTAGGGGACTTTGAAATCATGGCACATAAAAATCAATCAAATCTCATTTTACGCATGGATTATGAAATAGTGTAAATCCCTGCAAATAAAAAATTAATCGAAAATTGCACAATTACAGAGCTGGCGAGCTAAATGAATAATAAATTGTGCTTGAACAATTGCCTGAGCTGCACCACTTTAACTGGCAAAGAGAAATGCCCACCATCCTTAGTAAGTATACTGCAAAGAAGTTGTTTTGTGCATTGAAACTCCTGCACCTTATATTTATGATTCATATGCCTATTTTAAAAACACACGCTGTCATTTTTATTTTTACTCCTCCCTATCATATAACCATGTTATCTAAGTGTTCGTTAGGAGGTGGTACTTGATGCCGAAGGAAACACACCCAAAATTCAATTACCGTGGGACAGAAGTCAGATATGATAAAAAGCACTATGAAAGCCAAAATTTTATTATAGAATAGTTAATATTTAAACAGATTTCACCATATGCCAAGCCCTGCTAAAAATACTTTGCATTTATTAACTCTATAATTCTCACAACAATCCTATAAAAGAGGTACTTTTTTTTTTTGAGGAAGATTGGCCCTGAGCTAACATCTGTTGCCAATCTTCCTCTTTTTCTTTTTTTCTCCCCAAAGCCCCAGTACATAATTGTGTATCACAGTCATAGAGTCGTAGCTCTTCTATGTGAGATGCCACCTCAGCATGGCTTGATGAGAGGTGAGTAGGTCTGCGCCCAGCATCTGAACCAGTGAACGCCGGGCCCCTAAAACGGAATGTACGAACTTAACCGCTATGCCATGGGGCCGGGCCCTAAAATAGGTACTCATATTGTGCCCATTTTACAGATGAGCAAACTTATACCAAAGGATTTAAGTAACTCACCCAAGTTCATACATTTGTTAGGAAGGGGCAGAGGCCAGATTTGAACTCAAGAAGCCTGGTCCTAAAGTCTTAACTACTACACATAACACATATGTCCATATGTTCTCATGTTTTATGTATTTATCTAGTATGCCACAATGGTCGTGGATTTGCGTCCTCCAAGACAGCATCCTCACTATCACTACTTTATATTTGCTCCTGTGGGACAGTCTTAAATCATGCAACTTCTTGAGGAAAAATCCTTTGCATCAAGTGTTACTGCTTTGTACTGTGATGGAGTGCAGTGGGAGAAACACTGTCAGCTCACACCTCAAGAAGAGATGCACATGGGCCGGCCCCGTGGCTTAGCGGTTGAGTGCGCCCGCTCCGCTACTGGCGGCCCAGGTTCGGATCCCAGACGCGCACCGACGCACCGCTTCTCCGGCCATGCTGAGGCCGCATCCCACATACAGCAACTAGAAGGATGTGCAGCTATGACATACAACTATCTACTGGGGCTTTGGGGAAAAAAAAAAAAAGGAGGAGGATTGGCAATAGATGTTAGCTCAGAGCCGGTCTTCCTCAGCAAAAAGAGGAGGATTAGCATGGATGTTAGCTCAGGGCTGATCTTCCTCACCAAAAAAACAAAACAAAAAGAAGAGATGCACAAGAGTAGGATGATGGAATCTTCTGTCTTAAAGAATCTCTAGGAGAAAATTTTGCAACATATAGCACAGGCCAAGGGTAAGTATCCAGAACATGCAAAGAACTCCTACAAATCAACACATAAAGGATTAAACAAAAGAAAAAAATGGGCATAGGACATGAGCAGGTAATTCATAAAAGAGGAAATAAAATGGCCAATAACAAACATGAAAAGTTGCTCAATGTCATTAGTAATCAGGGAAATACATATTAAGACAATCAGAAACCACTTATTACCCATAGGAATGCCAAATTTTTCTAAGTTCTTTAATATTAAATGTTGTGAGGAGCCATAGAGAAATAGATACTCCAGACACTGATGGACGTGGAAGTTGGCACAGCCACTTGGGAAGGCATCTGGGCTGAATCTAGCAAAATTAAATCCTGTAGTTTCCAGTACTTCCACTCATCAGTATCCACCCTAGAGTAATGCTTACACATGCACACAGAGGCAGGGACAAAGATATCCACTGCAGTCTTATTTGTAGCTTGAAATTTAAAATAACTTAAATGTACATTAATAGATGGAAGTGTAAATAAACCATGATGGTGTAAATCACACAGTCAACCTTCTGTATCGGTGGGTTTCCCATTTGTGAATTCAACCACTCGCGAATCAAAAGGCCTACGATGGCTGCATCTGTACTGAACATGTACAGATTTTTTTTCACCATTATTCCCCCAAACAATACAGTATAACACCTATTTACATAGCATTTATGCTGTATTAGGTATTATAAGTAATCTAGAGAATATTTAAAGTATACTGGAGGATGTGCATAGGTTATATGCAAATACTATGCCATTTTATATAAGAGACTTGAGCATCCTCGGATTTTGGTATCCAACGGGGTCCTGGAACCAACTCCCCATCCCCACCCTGTGGATACCAAGAGACGACTGTACTATGGAATAATTCAAAATGCAGTGAGGGCCAGCCCAGTGGCGTAGCAGTTAAGTTCGCATGTTCTGCTTCAGTAGCCCAGGGTTCGCTGGTTCAGATCAAGCCATGCTGAGGCAGCGTCCCACATAGAAGAGCTACAACTCTACAACTACGATACACAACTATGTACTGGGGCTTTGGGGAGAAAAAAGAAAAAAAACAGGAAGATTGGCAACAGATGTTAGCTCAGGGCCAATCTTCCTCACACACACCAAAATAAAATAAAATGCAGTGAAAGGT